TTTATTCAAGGGTTGTATTTTATTCAGGGGCTGAACTTTTATTCAGGGGCTGTATTTTATTCAGGGGCTGTACTTTATTCAGGGGCTGTATTTTATTCAGGGGCTGTACTTTATTCAGCCCCTGAACTTTATTCAGGGGCTGTATTTTATGCAGCCCCTGAACTTTATTCAGGGACTGTATTTTATTCAGGCCCTGAAAATTCAATTCAAGCCCTGAAGATGCATTTTCAGGGCCTGAAAATGAATTCCAGCCCCTAAAAATGAATTTTCAGGGCTTGAATTATCATTTTCAGGCCCTGAAGTTGCATTCCAGGGCATGAACTTTCAATTCAGGGCACTTCATTGCAAGTTATGCATGCACCCCCCATCCCTCCCCCCCCGGCCCTATACTCATCTTATCTATTATTAAGTGTACTCAGGCAAGTGACGGGCATTCCTCCCAAGTAGACAACCCTCTGGAAGGGTATTCATCCTATAATTGCCGCTTAACACCGCTATTCAACCCCCCTTGCTTTCCACGGTGTGTGGCTAAGGATTGAATCAAGAAAGTTGCCTCCTTGCTTGGAATGCCCATGGCCCGCCACAAGGAAGGATCCACACAAACTTTGGGCTGCCAACCCGATACCTTTGTGTAGTCGGGGACTTGCCCACACTCTCCTTGCCACGGTCACATTTCTGAAACACGTGTTTACTTGTATCACCAACAATCCTACCCCAAAATAATGCATGCCCCACACACCTTTTACATTTATATACATGCCTTACTTACATTGCCGCCCGCCAACCTAAGCGCATCTCTCTAATCATTTGCAAGATTGCAACCTACGTTCTACCATGGATGAATTTTTCACTTCTTCGTGGCTAATTCCTATGGCAACAACATTCTTGTCGGCTACTAATCAGATCATGTGGGTTAACAGCAACGGCGATGTCCACGCTCCCTCGATGGCTTCGCTGGTCATGTCGCGGCATGCTTTGTTGCTCCAATCGCTCCTGTTGCTCACCACACACACACACCACACCAAACCACACATGCGCCCGGCATGTGCGCCCCCTGCTCAGTTCCATGCGCCCGACAAAGTACAAAACGCAAGAGTACTCAGTACGGAGTACAGTAGGACCGATCAGAATGATGTTGATGTGAGGTGCCTAGCCTGTTGTACGGAGTACTCAGTACAGTTGAGTTATGGAAAGAGTTCATGAATGTATAAGAACTCGAAGTGTAACCAGTTTCGGAGATGAGAACTGAACTGAAAAGTGTAACATAAAAGTAAGAAGCCGTAACCGCTGTATATTGTGTATTGAAAGCATGCACTGAAAGCAAAAGCATACTATAAAGAATTACGAAACCGAATTCCGAATAGTGGACCAACCGAAACCATACCTCGTGCGGTCGTTTAATAAGTAGATAATAGATAAGTCCGAAACCGTAAAGAAGAGGAAAAGCAAGGGGTGTAGACTCCTACATGGACCACAACAAGGCGTGGACATTCTGAAACGAAATATTGTTACCAAATAAAATAAAATACTGCGCTAGAGCTGCTTTAAAATGCCCCAAAGGGGTTATTTCACCGCTTACTTGAAGCGCGGTCAAGTGTTTCGAAAATACAGGGTCTCCACTAGAAAGCGTGATTATACACGGGAATTATACTCTCAGAGAAAATTTATTGAGAATTGTATAAATCCTAACGTGACGATCAGACCCTGTATTTTTCCATCGTAATAACCCCCCAAGTCCCGGATATATTGCAGCAGCCAGCCACTCCGTTCCCGCATCTTCCGCTCAGGCTGTTGGCCTTCTGCTGGCTAGCCTTTTTTGCGCATACCGCGTTTTTTGCTAGCTGTGCTTTCCTCAGTAGGCTACTGAGATGAGCTATTACATGTAGCGCACCATGAGTGAGGGAATAGCCCCTAGCTTCTGCTAGCCTGTCATGTGCAGGGTTACAGCCTCCCAGCACCGTGTCCTCTTACTCGGTGTAAATATTTTATTATTATTATTATCATCGTGACCCCGCAGGGAACCGAAACTCGTCCTGAATCTGAAACACTCCTGGGTACTGTAACACCAGTTTCATTCCAAAATGGACAATCCGTCCAAAACGGCAACACAAACACCGCTGCCGTGTCCGCAGGCTCGGGGCCCGCTTCTCTTGCAAAAAGTGCAACAAGATCCCCAAAACCTTCGAAAACGGGAGGTTGCAAAAGACGTATTTCCCTTCCCAACTTTGCAACACACAATCATCCCGCACCGACCAAAACCACCTAAGGTGCGAGTTCGCGCCATGAATATCCGCACACGCTTCCCGCAATCAAACGGCCCCCACCGTGTCTCCAAACGGTCAAACACCCCGTCACTAATCTCTGTCTATATATTTAGAAAAAAAATACACCGAGTGAGAGGACAACGTCCTGAGATGCTGAGAGGCTGTAACCCTGCACACGGCAACAAACAAATAATGCTCCGCTTGCTGGAATCGGTGCAGCTGCTGAAAGAACTGCTTCATCTTATTCCTGCTCAACAAATCAGCCAACAGGTTTTTTGTGTTAATGTACTGCGACAGAAGCCGCACATCATATTCCACCGCCAATCTCAGAATCTCTTTCGATAATGGAATAACCGTTGCCGTTCTGAAGAACTTCTTACGGCACCACGCCAATCGCACTCAGATTGTCGTCAGTGATGAAAACCACGAGGGAACATCCTGGCAACAAGGGACCCCACAACCACAATGCATAATACACCGCGTATAACTCCAAATAAGTAACGTGACTTGACTCTTCGTCCCCGTGAAGGGAGCAAAAGCAGTCTGTCGCCAACGCTTCACTTGTTTCCATGACACTGAAAACCAGCGCCCAGGGGATCAAAGAAACCTCTCATCCCAAAACCGGTGGAAGCATCAAGTGAAAGGAAACCTGTCACAACACGCCGCATATAGTGCTGCTCATGATCATGCTAACTTAAGGGGCAACGAAGAGCGGGCGTGGTGTTGCCGAGACTGTCCGAACCTGTCGGTCGCGCATCCGCGCATGTCACCTCGGTTCCATAGAAGGTGTGGCAGCGCGCGAGGTGGTTCGTCTGCTCCCATAAGGCATGGTTGCACCGAGTTCAATAAGGTTAGAGGTTCTGCGGGTAGGGATTCTTCAAGGGCTCAAGGTCTCAAGCAGCTCAAGTAGTCAACTAGACTAGCCTAGTGACACTATAGTGGTGTCACCTGCAACCCGACCGACCCAGTGACACCCCATGGACCCTGCATTGATGAAGTGGGGCGCCCGAAGATCGCGCGGGAAGGTAACCCCCGAATTTTTCCAAAAGTGCCGTATTTTTAATTCTGAAAATTCGGAATTAATTTCAGCCAATATTCGTCGAAAGTGGCAAAATGCTGTGGGGGTCCATATAGGGGCCATTCAGGGGGGCAATCGATGCCTATCGACTGCCCACTATGTAACCCCAAAATTTCGATTTCAAATGTCACTTGGGAGCGACTTCCTGATTTTGAAAAAAAATCGTCATTCGACCCCCTCAGCATAACCCCTTAAAAATGGGCATTTTTGCTTGCCGCGTGGTCAACGCGTCAGGAGTGGTACTGCATGACTCGACCCCCCCCTTGTAAAATTTGGCCTTGTAGTCGTCATTTGTATACTCCCTGCATATTCCGAATTGGTGGCAGTCGCAAATAAACAATATCCATGTGTGAAGGGGGTGCATTTTCGGAAAGCGTGTTCGAAATCGTCAAAAAGTGCCCCATAATTTATGAGCAGGACTATAGTTAGCATCACGGTATTTCCGTTTTGAAGAACGGCCATGCTCTTCCACCACTTCAGATCACGCCAGGCTTAACGCCCTCGACAAATGAATCCAACTCGAGCCTTCGGCCTTCGCCGCCGATACGGCATCATGCGCCCGCCTAATAAGGAAACGAAGTGCGGACGCCGTACATCACTTGGGCGCAAAACGAGAGTTTTCCAATCAAACTCTCCAATGCCCGGACTTTCACGGCCTTCCTCGAGAAAGTCAAAGGCCATGACATCACACATCCGGCCCACGGCCAAAAGTCTTTCTTTTGAAACCGACGCCGTGCACTCTCCCGTACCCCTAGTCTCAGTGTCAAGCACTATTCCTACTAAGAATACCAGACGGTGCACCGGGCCTTCCACCTTAGTGATGGCTACCTCGAATCCCAAAACCGTACTAAGTCCAATGCGAGGTCCAGCATACCCCGCTGACACTCTTCAAACTTATTTGTTACGATGAGAAACTCATCTAAGTATACCACTACCGACACACCACGCGCCCGCAAGACTCGGGGAATCGCTTGTGTCACATCATGAAAAATCTGCGGAGCCACGGAAAGGCCATTCGCAAGTCGTGTGTCCACCTAACATACACCTTGCCACTCACACATAAACAACTTCCACATCTCCGGCGCCACCCCCATAAATCGATACGCCTTTGACAAGTATATTCTCCCAAGCTAACATTTTGGCCTCATCAGCGCGTACGCATCTTCAAGCGTAGCAAACTTCCTAGACCGTTTTTCACATGCCGCGTTCACCGACTCTCCAAACGGCCTACGGAATAATCATGTATTTCCCTTGCATTAACGGCACCATCATCTTTCACGATTACAATCAGTCACAGGGCCGAAAGGTAAGATGCCTCTTGGCGGGGAACGCGTACCATACGACCCACAACCTCTACCTCGGCCATCTCATCTTTCATCAGGCCCAAGTACTCCTCCGGAACATAGTTCGGGACCTGAAACGGCTCGGGCAGATCTCCCACATCCCAAGTCACACCCGTAGCCACAAACTTGACTATTTCGGGTGTAAAGATCTATAAATCGTGATGGGACTTTCACTGTACAAGACCCGAACGTCACCGTGTGCTCGAGCACAAATTATGCTCCAAGTCGGTTTCGATCCGGTCTTCCGGTGACCTCATGGTTGTCACCCATTTTGCTCTACCACTGAGCTATCGGAGCTTCTTTTTATATACAAGCTCGATCCTCTTGTGGCACTTGTACAGTTCTGATAATTATACGGATCGAAGATCGACTGTGACATCGATCGATGACGTACCAACATCGCGAGTGGCATCTGTCATCTTTCGATCCCTGACATCGGGGGGCCGTGGGTCCCCGCTAGGAACGGTCGCCCAACGGTGTGCTTGAGCGGTCGACGGTGAGACCGTCGCTCCGACATGCACCATGCACCGCTTGCACATACTCGTTGTGTGAGGCTACATTAAACACTCGATTTTAAGAAAACAGGAATTTTAGGCCAGCCTAGCAAATTTCTTATTTATATAGAGATCTTAAATATGGAGTGTTATGTGTTAAATATTGTGAAGAAATCAAAAAAGCTGGCTACTTTCTTATTGGCGGGTTTTCTTATTACTGAGTGATTACTGTAACGTCACACCATAATACAACAATGGCACGAGTTGCAATCACATCATATCTACGGTGCAATGGTTAATGGTCCAAACCATCCGGTAGTCACGACGACCTCCATCCGGGGTTTTTAATGCGAAAATACTTGATATAATTACATAGATCGGTCCACTTCAGCATATTGGACGCAGACCAAAAGGGTGTGTAAATAGAATATAAATGGTACAAAGTGTATTTTCTTAATCAGATGACAAGATTCGCGATCACTCGTATAATCAATGCAGGCGGCATTTTTCGTACAGCAATACAGTGAATGTGTCATGCACCACGTTAACGTTACCCGTGATGTATTCAAACTAATTATGGAAGACACACGAGTACGCTGACTGGCAGGAGGTGTCACGTTTACGGTATTATTATAAATTGCGGGAATGATATCCAATCGGTGGAGATCGTGTATAAAGCGGAATTTGATGCTGCACGTTGGACGGCACATGATCCTTGCTTGAGTCACTGTACTGAATATTCACAGATTGTGGATATCCACATCAGGATACGGCGCACGCACGAGACACGGGAAATTTACAAAACATGAAATCTGAACAATTTATACACATATCATATAAATCATCAAGACTTCATGAATTGCGTCCTCTGCTGACGAACTCTCGCAAGCGTATTTTAGCCACATAAATACAGGGGTCACACGATGCGGGGTGTCGACGAGGAGCAGTAGTCCTTTGGTGAATGGTGTGACATGACACTGACTCAGGACTGACGAGAGACGAATGTGTGTCGTCCTTGATGCGGAATTCGATCGAAGATGAAATCGATAAAAGTTGGACGCGTGGAGGTGTCATGCGGCATGTTTACGAGAGAGGGGTTATGTACATACTACATGCAGAAAACATTTAAATTCCCATGCACTGTCACATATGTGTTTTGAACATACCCGATACGGTACGTTTGCCCACGGCGTAGTCAAAGTCTCGGTCAGAGTTACCCAGCATACACAGTGCAGACTTACGTACGGTGTGTTGAGGGACGGCTCGGAAAACAAATGAAACTCGGTGATAGAAAAATAAATTGCTACATTTGGAGAGTCTGCGCCTAGGATCGCCATGAGTGAACTCTGCAGTGAAAAGGCGTTTTCAACTCGCCCAACGGTAGTCTGCCTAGTCTTTTTGCGCGCATGGTGAGAGAAAATAGGAAATGATCTTGCGAGGTCAAGCAACTTTAAGGTTGCTGGGCAAGAGATGGCAGGACTTTCAATTTTGTCTAAGGGGCATAGGTTCGGCAAAGACTATCGGCTTTCGGCACCCGTGATTTGTCTAAGGGGCATACGTAGGTTCGGCAATTACTATATGTTTTTCAGAGCTTGTATTTGGTTTGGAAGCTGAAAAATCATAGGTTGATGCGCACTTGCGAACGTATTAAAAGTAGCCTAGGCGAAGTACTACCCACTGGCGGTGGGCGCTTTTCGGCCCTAAAAGCGCCCGGATTGGAAAAAGCAGTCTAAAGTAGCAAGGCACACGCACACGTCAATACAATTGTTCTCCCTTGGTTCAATTTAAGCGTAAACTCTGTCGGGTTACGCCCCTAACCGTGTATGTGACGAGTGGCATTAGCTCAAGAGCTCATAGCTCATAGAGCGCCAGATCGAAAGGTCTGGAGGTCTCAGTTTGAATCTGAGATGCCACACGCTCAAGGTGCGTTTTCTCCACCCTTTATCTGCAGTGTGCAAGCCTCCTAGTGTAGCCATAGTTTCCACATTAGCCATATTAGCCATATTTTCAACACTTTTTAGGGTGCTGCTGTCGGAGCACTTCTTTCAGAACAGGCATGCTCCGATGTTTTGTGATCGGTCCACCCTTTTATCTATGATAAGGGGCCGGGTTTTCCCGGACCTTTGATAATGTGGCAATATGCTATTAGCGAGGGATAATATGGCACGCCTGCAGTCTCGTATAGTGCAGGCATGCTCCGATGTTTTGCGATCGGTCCGCCCTTTTATCTATGAGAAGGGGCCGGGTTTTTTCGTACCTTTGATAACGTGGCAACATGTTGTGTGCGAGTCTGCGAGTCTTGTGTATAGTCTTGGTCTTGCACCTGTCTTGCACCTGGGAAATCTAGGCATCCTCACTCGCATGAAGTTTAGAATGGTGGTGTAAAAAAGCTTCGTCGGAGCACTTCGGATCCTGCAGATCGACGCGCCCTTCGTTCGCGAGGTGGAGCACTCTCGAGGAGATGAAGACGCGCCTTCGATACTGCTGTTTACACATGTCACGGCACGTCCATAAGTCCGTAAGTCCAAAGGGCTCGTCGGAGCACTTCGGATCCTGCAGATCGACGCGCCCTTCGTTCGCGAAGAGGAGCACTCTCGAGGAGATGAAGACGCGCCTTCGTAATGCTGGACGACAGTAGAGTTCGCACACGCAGCGATGTTTATCACGGGCTTAATGCATACGCAGCGATGTTTATCACGGGCTCAATGACAGGGTTGGTGTGTTTCTTTTGGGCTAAAGGGTCGTGCGGGGAATGCTGCGTAGCGTAGGTGGCAATAAAAGAAAGTCACGTGATGGTGGAACAGCAGCTACACCCGGTCGTGAAAAGGGTCGAAGGAGGAGTGCCACCAGCGTGCTGGTATCCTGTCCCAGAGGAATTCCCAGGAGTAGACTATTATCCTCTATTATCTTGAGGAATCATATCATATATTCAGATATACTATTTAACATAAACCCAGACAGCAAGAGTTATATCATTTGCTGTCCAAGTCTGAGAGACCAACTCTGTTACCTCTCTTTATTCTCTCCTCTGAGCTCACATATTATTTTCCCCAACTGTTCGCTCAGGCAATGTCACATCCACTCACTAATTTCCCTAATAGTTCGCTACTCTTATTCTCATCGAAATCAGACCCCCCTACTATGGGTGTCTCAGCAGGTACGTCGTGCCTCCTGGCACAACTCTCCCCCCGTTAGGAGTGGACTTTCCCCTGAAACCACGACTAAAGCATAATCACACATACAATAGCGTACAGGGGTCTCGTGATTCCTCTGCTCATCAGCGTAGCAGAAGGGCTTCACCAAGGATCACGCTGCCAACGCTCATCCCGGATTCACCCAACCGCACACAACCGATATCTAAGGCAGGTCTTCAGTCTTCGTCTTCTCCTTCGAAACTCTGCTTGCCGTAGATCGGTTGCACTCGGTCCAAGGGTTATGACCGTAACATCGTTTACTTTCCTGTGCCTCCAAAAGTCAACTGCTGGAACAGATGCCGCAGTAGACCCTCTGGAACTGGATACACTGCATGTGACTTCTGCATCCCCTTCCGATGACCACTCGGTCCCAGTTGTGCAGTATCAGGGTGAACTCCTGTTGCACGTCGATGCGAACAAGGAGTCGCTGCAGAGCATTGCAGTAAGGGTTCGGGCGGAGGCGAGCTCGCCCATATACACGTAGGTTTCATGTATCGTTTCCCATACATGCAGTAGGTGCAAGTGAGGGGCGCCGGTAAATGGCTCATTACTGGCCTGAAACGCAGGGCGTCAGGGTAACGGCCCATCGGGTTCTCCACAAACCAGTGTTGAGGACGGAGATACTCGATGATGTCTAGGGTGCGTTGTACGCACGCGTCCGCTGTAACGAAATCGGGCGGACCTCCAGTGGTGCGGGCCTGACTGTACTGGGTACAAGGGGGGCTTGCCCATACCACGTCGAAGTACCCTGGGGGATACCTCCAATAATCCCAGCTCTCAATGGCCGTCACGTGAGTCGGCCGCCAAAGCGGGTCAGCGTCCAGAGTTACCGATCTCGAGGCTGGGAAGCAGCGGGCAAACTCCTTTTCCACGGAGCCTGTTCCACTGAACAATACCAATATCCGTACTGGCCGAGTATCAAGTGCAGCGAGGGTAGTGACATAGGTGACCTCGCCCTCTCTCGTCATTCCACGTTGTTCCCAAGGAAGGCATTCGTCGGTGGGGTTCTCAAACTCCTCCTCCCAGGGTCTCACCAACAGGTAGGCTAAAGAGGCACCTGACGCCACCGTCAGTGCGTATCACGGCGTTGCTCTCGACGACGTAATGCAGCGTCACGTACCCTCCATGGCCAGACGTTCGGTCTCAAAGTCCTTAAGCTGCTGCAGAGGTGCTCCACGCTCCAGCTTGTCTCGAGTCCTCCACGAATCGTGGGCCTTTGAGTAGCCCGTCCAGCGTACCTTCCATTCCACAATCTCCTTTCCTCGGGAGATGCGAACTCGTCGAGCCAGAATGCGATCCACATGGGCCTCGCGTTGTCCATCAACTATCACCGCCTCTGGGATTGCTGGCTGTCGGCGTGACGCGAACGCATCTGCCCCTCCCACGTATGGCTTCAGTCGATGTTGTGCGAACACATCATGTATACGCCAGCGTGGGGGGAGCTGCAGTCGATAAGCCACCGGAGCACCTCGGTCTGCCTCCGGAAGACCCGCCTGCATGTCACTGTAGAACCGCTCCGTTACCGCCAACGGCCCATGCCAGCGCTTGCTGAGCTTCCTGCAAAGGGACCTGTCCATGAGCTTCTCCGTGAGGTGCTTGGCTTCTACCC